GCTCGCAACAATTATGGCATTCTTGAGCTCGTATACAGATTCAGCAGTATGGTAAATCCTGCTACAGTTAAGGATTCTATCCCAGCACAGAGCTGTACCCGTGTCTTCACTGACACGGCATCCTGACTTCACCGTCTTCCCCGTGAACTAGTTTATGATTGATACCCTCGATTCACGGTGACGTTTTGACAATCCGTGTTCCACCCTTGGATAACTTCTCCCCTGTGTCTATCTCTAACTATAACGAGACACATAGTTGCAAAGAACGCGTCAACCGCGACCTCGTAGAGACACTTCGAGGATGCGTCCAATTTTTCACAGGTTGGAGCGACCTCTTGCCGATGGTGGAGCTTGTCATCGACAACTACGTGCATGCGTCGACAACGCGTTCACAGTGCTTTGTGAATAGCTTACGCCATCCGCGCCTATCCACACATTAAGAGTGCGACCCTCATTTAAGGGGGAAGAGGGACTCACTCGAGCAAAAATCGTTCTGACTCTTGCTCATCCTGTGTCGAAGTACTTGACGACGCGAACGTCGCCGATGTCGACTAAATCGACATTTGAGAAGATAACATCAGCAATAGTAACAAAAATATTGCTGACCCATACGAGTACGACGATGCTGGTATGTTTAGCATCGATAACGACTATGCCAGAGAGGATGATGACACCCTCTCTGGAGACAGCTCTTAGCATTGAGCACCAAGCACACTGGTTAAACACAGCATAGTCATCAGAGAACTTTCTGTTGACTCGAGAATCAGAGGTACGTCTTGTGCAAGAATCCATAACCAACGCGTTTAAATTGCAGAAACGGAACGCGGACAAACATGGAAGAGTAAACGTTCTAAATTTAATTACGGAGACTTATTTCTATTATCTATGGTAAATCAACCTGAGCACATAGTAAGTAGTGTAGATAGTAGTAGTTAAATACTACCCAAGTACATTGGACTGAATCTTGTTCTACACCGCAAAGGTAATGCGTACACGATCGACTTGCCTCGCAAGATGCGCACGCATCCTACGTTGTGTGTCAATCGTCTCCACCCGTACTATCAGAACGAGGCCTCTTCCTCGGGTGAATACAACTGCCACGCTCATGAAACTCCAAAAGATTCTTGGTCCCAAGCTAGTATCTTAATCTGGTTCTGCAGTCGTGCTTTTAAGCGACGAAGGTCACTCACTTCTTCGCGCAAGGATTGACGCTTCCGCTCGTTACCCAATTGCCGGTACTCGTTTTCTTACCAGACGTCGAATCGCTGAAGGCGGATGCGTTGCACCCACTCCACCAAAGAGAGAAGATCCTGTCTATTTTGTTCGGTTCGGTTTACAGATTGTGCAAGCCTGGCTGGAGACGACCGACCTCTGACTGCAATTCAACAAGCCATTCGGAGTTGACCTGCCCGCCCTCATATCAGCAATTGGTGGACTATCACAGTGGTCAACGCTTCCACGTGAAGCGTATCTTGAACCATCGCTACTTGAAGGGGCCGCGAACGATTTTTGTTGTTCTCTGGCGCGGCTATTCACCTTCGCACGATAGCTGGGAGCCTCGCGACCAGCTGATGATTGACGTTGGGGATCTCGTCCACCAGTACGACGAGACACATCCGATAGCTCAGAAGTGTCATCGAAAACACGCGCCCATGGCGATGGCAGAGCAACTTCAGGTTAGCAATCGCATCGCGCATCTCAGAAGAGATGTCCCCCCTACCCCAGAACAAAGAAAGGAAGTACACATCTTTGTGTGTGCGTTGAGTGTTGTCGAAATAACACGGGCATGGGTCGTGGGGCATGAAATTTCTGCCTCACAAGACAGAGTGTGCAACCTGGCTTTTGCAACGGTCAAGGTTCGTACTTCAAACCTAATACGGGCTGTGTTAAGTTTTTGAAGCCAAGCTTCACGCCCACTGTGCTGCACATTGAGTATGAAGGCGTTCAACGCCTGTAGAAACGAGCTTTTGTCTCGCTTAGTGTTGACATTATACCAACGATGGTTCAGAAAAGCATCCAGGTGGAAGTCTTTTCAGCGTGAAAGTTACTAGCGTTGATGTCGAGGAAATACAACAATCTCGCATCTAATAATGGAATTCGATGATGGAGACTTGTCTCGCCAGAAAGATCATTCATAAGATTTTCTGGTAATTACCCAAGGCTTGTGTTCAGAAACTAGACGCTGCACATTGCCGTCCACAGCCTCACGTTTGATACCAACCAAAGTCTCGGTACCACTGGAATCGTCATCACGACGGTGCAAATCAATACCGCCTTCGCTGACTGGCGAATGCGCAGTAGCAGTCGCGGAGATGAGTCAGCATGCTCATCCTAAGAACTAAACGTACTCTTGTAGTGACCATGAGTAGTACTCCCCGCTCGAGTAATATCATATGATCGTATTCAACCGCCTCTACAGACTCGTGCGACCTAGACATCTTCTTCGAGTCACACTTAACGTCCGACTCCCCAGGATAGATGAGCTCCACTAGGAAGCCATCATCATTAGCACATGTTGACTCACCACGTGCATATGTAGCAACTGGTTCGGCAGGAAGAGTTGCAGCGGCAGCAGACGAAGCATCGTCTGCCGCGAGAGGCTGAGCTTCGTCAAGAACAGCTGCGTAAAAAAGACGTGCAGATCATTTCTCAGCAGCTTTCGCATCGCAAAAGTTTGATCACCATGCGATGAATATTCATAAAGGAATGGATTGGACCGAAAAAGTGCTCGATGTTCCTAATGTGGTATAACTGTGACCACATCAACATGATAGTGATTGATTGACTCTCGTCTAAGGGGAGGGGTGATGTAATGGGGTGACCCTTTGCACGTAATTATACCTTGATACTTGTGTATTAGAATGCAAATTATAAGAATTGATAAAGTATGTGAATATTACCATAAGGGGTAACATTCAGGAACCTTGACCGATTAGCTGATATGGGTCATCATAAACAGCCAGCTCTAGCGGTCCAATCAACGATGGACGCGCGCAATGAGTGGTGAGCAAGACTTTGGCATACATTTTGTAGACAAACATAATAAATTCAGGACCTAAACATAGGTTAATGATGAGGACTTAATTCTAGGGAAACGTTTACTGCCCCTTGATTTTCGTTAGCCATGTCCCGCCCTTATATATTACCGTTAATTAGTAGAAATATGTCTTCTTGTCGGTAAGATTAAGAAATGATCTTTCCCAGAAGTAGTTTACAATCTCGATAAAATTCGAGATCCGAATATAATACGCATGTCTTCAAGCCGGCGACGTAATATAATTTATTATTCAGCTATTTCCCTTACAAAACAATGAAATTTGAGTAGCAAGGAGTGGCGGCAACCGACGGTGGGGACACTATCGAAATGAGTAAAGTACACTAAACTGGTTCAATTGTAAATCGCTCACATTTGACCACCCAAGGCATTTGTTTATATGTTCCAGCACGTGGAAGGAGAGAGTAAGACGAAGCCATTGCAAGACTCCAGTGCACGCTTCGTGAAAGATGAAAAAAATCGGAAAGGGACAGAAATATTTGCGGGTTGCTTGTACGTTGAACCACAAAAAAAAATAAAGCGGTGATCTGGTAGTGACTGGACGGCGTGATTATTATAAAGCTTCATAGTCAGTTACATTTTACGTCGGTGAAGTAACGTGTCTTGCCGTTTATGATCGCTGATGTGCGAGAATTTAGCAATTATACTGTTGCAAGCGACGAGCGAGAGGGTTAAATCTGCATTCAAGAGGTAGTACAGGAGAGCAGTACTACCCACAAGGTTTTAGTTAGCCACTCACCGCCCCTTGAATGTGAACGATTTGCAATCGAGCCAGGTAAGTGTACTTTACTTGTATCGATAGTGTCCCCACCGCCGGTTGCCGCCCCTCCGTGCTGCTCAGATTTCAGTGTGTCGTAAGGGAAGCAGCTGAATAATAAATTACCTCAAGTCGCCGACTAAAAGACATGCGTGATATATTCGGATCTCGTATTTTATCATCTGTGAACGAGATTGTAAATTACTTTTGAGAACTGCCACTTCTTAATCTTACGGATCAGAAGACGTAAAATGTATAGATTGCGGTTATATCTGGGAAGGTGGTTTACGAAATCTGGTGGGGGGGGTTAACGTTTCCCTTTGTAAATCTTGGACTCTTTGTACATACAATTGAGCAGGCTTCATGTGATGGGTTGAAAGGCAGTAGCTGTCATTGCGACTCGTTCACGTGAATGGATGCGGCTAATTGTTGGAGTGACTCTGAGCATACATCGGCCAATCATATCCACTGATGCCTCTTTATTTTGACGAATTGCACTCCTCTTTTAGACGAGTTCGAGTCGGCTTTTCCTGACCAGTCAGTTCACATACAAGTGCCAAGTGAAGAGAAAAGTATTCGCTCAACTCGTCAGTCTCAAACTTACATCAGAGAGATGCTAATCGTATCAGTCTACTTGATGACGCGTAGCTTTGACACGTTGTGAAAATGGCGATGGAGTGAAGATACCTAATTGTACTTGGTGATAGGAGTACGGGCCGTTTTGGTCTCTCCTCCCTCTATGAGCACTACACTATGTCATAGTTACACTGACCATCCGCCAATCCAGTATGTAGCATGCGTGTATCAATGTGTATATTAATGATCAGAATCTAAGAGTAATGCATTTGCCAGATATGCAATATGGACGACTTCATGCATGCTATTGTCATGGGCATGTTCAGTGCACAGGCTACAATACAACTGAGCAATCGAGCTGTGCGGCCACGTCGAATTCTCAGGCACGTAGTAATGCTTGAGAAGCCAACGACATTTGTTCGTTTGCGCGATCGTTCTGCATCATGTGTACGCATTCGTATCAAATACCGGGATAAACGCATGCACTCGAACGTATCCGAAATAGGTCCACCAGTCCTCTGCTATACGGATGCCAGTTCTTGCAGCTTCATCAACAGTAGTGTACAACCGTTTCGCGCTGTTCATGTTAGCGCTGGTATCATTTGCTGTAGTTCAAGATGCACACGTCTGCGTCAGCTGAATCGCCACAAAGACTTTGATGTTGGATAACTGCTTCGTGACGTCAATGTAGGCTGCAAGTCCAGACTTTACAAAGAAGATCACGAGGTGATACATTGCCAGCGTGCAAAGATGTACCTTTAACCCGTACGACATACCGGAAAAGGCTTCACCGATCCAATCCATCGTACTCGGAACTTTCACGCACGGAACCAACACAATGTCGTTAGAATCTGATTGCACTTTGTTTGCGAACGCCCACACAGCAGCCAGCACCGTCACTAACAGCGTACCAAGAACTTAAGGCAGCGCCAGATGGGCGACACCGAAGATATGAATGTAGTCGGCTACCCAGATGGAGTTTAGCGTCAAGCTGGCCTGGACAAATACTCGCTCTCGAAGTCTGACGGTTGAAAATGAGTGATGATGGGAAGGCAGGTGAATACACAACGTTAGCAGTAGCGTCCATCCACGTGTAAGCAACATCGTCGAGCCAAGCAGTACTGTATCGAGGTACGGGCCAAAAGTAGCCCACTGCAACAACAACGCCACTCGGATAACCACTCGACACGGAATGGAGCACAAACGGAGTACCTAGCAGCGAGTTGCTTTCGCCAGAGTCAGTAAGGTCGAGGTGCAAGATCATCGACGATTGCAGCGAACGTTCTGGCTGTCTCAACGCTGCCAATCTCCAGTGCTATGACTCGGCAGTTATCTAGTGACTTTGGCGTTAGTCACTTTAAAGTGCACGGTGGCGGTGAGCACTTGGGGTGAAAATGTGTAGTGCGGTGCCCTCGGATCGCGGTGAATGGTTTGCAACAAAGCTTTACATTCACGATGACTATCGAAAACAGCAACGTGATTAGCGCTTGTGCATCGATCTTTTGTCTCCACGAGTGCGCCAACGTCGCGCAACCACCATTTATGCCAGCAGACGATAAAGCAGGGTGCGTGCGAGACACTGGCTCGGATTTGCCACACGTGTTAATCTTTGTAAATGGTGCCATTTCTCTTTTCTGTCCCATTTCGTTTGATTTATCCATCCAGCAAACTGATGAAATATCGAAATCTCCACGCAGCGAGCAACATTTCGCTACCAGGCGTTATCCATGGTCTTCATTTGCTTGGTTTCCACCTCCGATGGCAAAAGGGGTCACATTTGTAGCGACCAATAAATACTTTGAGCGCTCTGCATGCAGCAACGTCCAGTCTAGATGGAGCGAAATCTGCACGGGTGTATACGTGCACGAAAAGTGGTGTCTTACGCCGTACCATTGGGCTTGGTCGTCGAATGTTCGCGTAGATCGCGCATTGCTAGCCGCATCCTCTCCTTCGTCTGTTGTTTCAAACTTTGAAAAAACGCCATATCATCCTGCAACTCCACCAGCAAGTCATGGTTCATGCCGTGCACCTGTGCTTCTCGGTACGACTTTCGTAAATCCTGCAGAATGTCTAGCACCTGCTTTAAATGGCGCGTATCCCGATCCCGTTGCTCACTCAGCTTGTGCCACTCGTGCAGCTGCATCTTCGTTTTCCCCAACCTTATGGACTCCATCAACTGATCTGTAACGACCGTTCGACAATTTCCACATAATTGTCCATCTGCTGCAACACTCTGCGTATAGGAATTGGCAATGCCACTGAGAATCTCCAAATCGGTCGTTGGGTTGACCGACGGTTTTGTCAAAGTTGGTGGGTACTGCATTGGCTGAACCGACACAAGGTTCGGCTGTCCTCCTTCATAGAAACCCTGCAAATCTGCTGCAGCTGCAGACGTTGCAGCCGTTGGAGTCTGTATCGTCATAGTGGGTAATTTCCGCTTGTTCGTCATGTTAGTGATGATCTGGACTTCATTTACGGTGGTGTCCCCAGCATTCCGAAAGCTTTCTTCATCTTCTGTCTCCTCGTCTTCTCGTTTCGACGATTGGGTACTTTGCGGTTTCGAAAGAGGACCATCATTTTTGCGTAGTAACTCAATGTACCCATTTTTGTTATCGTTCGCGTTCGGCCCCTTTTTGATGGGCCGAAGGCCACGACGATAGCACTCGGCGCGCAGATCGTGGGCGCGGTGGCGGTCGTACGGCTCGTAAAGGAGCTGCGAGGACTCTTTTCGACCTCCCGAGTCGTTGTTCGACAAAAGGGAATCGATATCGCCCCCGTTGCTATGGACGTCGCCCACGAGCAACGTCGTGTCCATGGCCGTGAGTACAAGCGTAGATAAGTGGGGTACACTCCCTCGCTATAGTGACACACCTACACCCGAGTTGAAGCTCGACCTACATTCCTGTCAGAGTGAATGTCGTGACTCATGCATAGGACGCTTATGGCGTGCAATACTGCATTGTGCAACGGAGTTATCGTTGCTAAAAGTGCAGCGGAATCAGATTGCTGACACGCACGACTTCTCTTGGCGTCCCACACGAGTTATACAAAGTAGCATTAGGGGATAACAATAGCGATATACTGGGCAATTGGTGTTATGACGATGTCACTTAGTTGGCAGGTGGACGTTGAGTAAATGTACAACAAGTTATGCGTCGAGAATAGTGGTGGGTCGGAGGTCCAAAGCGCACCACGGACACGGTTGCTATGGCTCTAGCTTGTTCAGTATATATTCACTTGAGGCGGATGGGGAACGATCGTCGTTTGGATGGCAGACGTGAAGTTCTGCAGGGGTAGCGGAAGTTGATACATGGCATCCTGGCACTAGCATCACGCCGTGGGAAAGCAAATATTTTGCAATCGTTTTGGCAAGTCACGACTCTTCGTTAAGTAGTGCCGACGCATGACATGCAGCTTTGTTATTGCAGTGCAGTCACCTTCACGAAGAGCTGTTGATCATGGGTGAATGATCGCTTTTTATCGACCTGAGCACCCAAATATTACAGAGAAACTTGAGGAGGGCACTTTGTGCTGACATAAGTGACAGCCAAGGAAACGGCATTCCAGCCCAGCAACGCACCGGAAAGTATCGCTTGCAGAACCAGCTAACGGACAGGGACTATTGAATACGGCAGCTGGACCATTATTGGCGCTAGACTGATGACGGTGTTTTGGTGATGCTTCAAAATAAAGCTACGGACATCACTATCGTAGCCACTGCAGTTCACGAGCGACATGCTGGCATCGTACGAGAAGTTGGCGGAATTGCCCGCCGTGCAAAACACCGATCGACCTCAAAGCGTGCAAAACGATCGACCTCAGAGCAAGAGTTTTCTCACTCATCCCAGAAAAAACTGATGCTAACCGTTCAACAAAGCTTAACGAGCTACATGAAAGCCTCAATGTCGTAATAGAGCGGAATCGGTGCAAACACAAAGTCCATCCGTAGCTTGAAAAATAAAAGCAAAAGCTGAAGACTTTTGGTGAGGCCATTCGCAATACGGACACGGACAGTCGGCAAAAACGTGAAAGCTGGTATGCGATTGCTGATTAGTGAGGGAACAGCCTATCAGCAGCACCATTTATCTTGTAAAGCTCTCACCACATACAGCCTCATCGGCACACTCACTCGATGCAGTACGACACATGTTCTTCGACCCGCGGTCCCGGGGTTATGGACCGCCGCTTAAAAATCAGAGCGTCGTTGTTGCCGATTGTCATGCTTGTACAACACATCAAGCGTTTCGACGGCATGGGTCTGGACACGACTAATCGCTATCGGTGTAGTTTGCGCTGACGGGCGTCATGACTTGATCTCGACGCATACTTGCCTTTTCGTTTCCACCGCAACTTTCTTTGTCATCACCGTCAGATTTTTTGCGGCTTGGGCTTTTTTTCTCGCTGAGTCACGTCGTCGCACCTTTGGATTAGAGCATGTTGTTTGACGGTACGAGTTTGATCGTGAGACCACGTGTGGTATGCCTTACTTGTCCGCCACCAATAATTTCGCTGCAGCTCATGATTGGCATTGCGTCAATGATCTCCATGCCGTCGATCGTCTCCTTTGCATAGCAGCTATTTGATTTCAGCATCCATCGGCAAGTAAAAACCACTTGCCGCGATCGCGGCACGACCCGACGATATTGCGTTGGAGCGAAATGACATTTACCATTGTACTGAGCTGACCCAGACTTTTTTTCTGCACAACGCTTCTCCGCAATGCTTCACAAAGTTTATTTGGAGGCTGACAGAGGTATGAGCCTCTGTGAGCTTGGACCAGCTCCAGAGAGTTAATGCAGCAATCAATCAGGATGCCGCCGCAGAGCTAGCTGTGAGCCCTTGCTATGGATGCCTTATGCTCCCACAAACGTCAAGTCTACGTGCCTTCCACCATAAGTCGCCACATCGTTATCGCTTTGCTCCTCGGAAGGTTCTCCGCTGGTCTCGTCGACACGAGGGGTGCATCCACCGCTTGACATTGTGTCGTCATTCACGGGAAAAAGCTGCTTCAGTAAAGTAGAATACGAGCGACACTTGTCTTCCAGCACCTGCATTAAGACATCAAGCTGTCCCGCTTCGAATGTATCCTCCAGCTTTGGTGTCTCTTGCTCTTTTGCACCATTTTGCTTCTGGATCTCGTCTTGAAGCACTGCCAAGCGTCTCACAATTCCTTTACTGTGTTCGAGAATCTCTTCATGGGCTGAAAGCACGCTTCGGCGCTCCAATGTCGCAATCGCGACTTCGCCACTTGCAGGCCCATCCGCGGAGGACGAAACACTATCGATCACAGTATGCTCAAGCAGCCCCACCAGCAGCTCACACACGCTTTCCCACACAGCCAGAAACTCGGAGCACATCTGCAGGTTTGTCAACTCCTCGCAAACTACGAGCGAAACCAACTGGACCACCACCACATGTGGCCGAAGTGCTAACGGGTCTTTCAATATTGATGATCGACGTCGTCGTCCAGCGGTACAAGAAGTGTCGTTGGGGAACGACACATCAGCAAGAATCGACGGTAATACATCTTCGTCAAATGACGCGAGTTGTCGCCAGTAGTACAAGAAGGGTGAGCTGTTCTCCTCCTCATCGTTACCGACATGTACAGCTCGGCCATATCGGTTGGGATCCATATCGTTTAGCAAGTCGTAACCAATGGGAAGCAAACCGTATCGAAGAATATCAAGCCAGGCCGTAGACTGAAATGATTGCTCAGATCCCGTGTGCTCGCGTAACATCCGCGTCAATGCTTCAAACGCCGCCAGAACGAGACCGTTAGAGATCTCTTGCATCGCCTGGTTCAACAGCAATTGCTTCGATACGACAGTCATACCACCCAGAAAACGCAAGCGTTCAACCACAAAGTCGGGTGAATCGGGGTAAAACGCATCAAACATAAAGCAGAGTAATTCAATCGGTCTCGAGGGTGTCCATGAATCACATGGATCACACCTTTTCATGGCAAACATGATCGTCTTCGTGTAGCAGAAGCGGATAAGCTTTTTGTTCCCACTTCTATCCCAGACCTTATTCATTATAAGCTGCTCGAGTAGTTCAAAGGCGTGTGAGGCTGCGTGGGGAATCTTGACCGACAAGCTGATCAAGCTGCATATTTTCTCCCAGTCCATGCGTGAGTAGTGCGAATTGCTCGGCTGCACCATTGTTACATATCGGTTCAGTCCACACATAATTGGCGTCAGGAAAGGTCGAACAAACTCATCATCTGCACTCATTTCCGTTAATGTAAACAAGTAATTTTCCAGTGGCAGCCTATTAGCATCACCACGTGTGCAAGTTGCCCAAGCAAACAATGTATTCAGTAACTTGTACACTAGAAAGCATGCGTTTTCGTAAGTCATTCCACTCGAGCGATTGTTTGAAAGTAACATCGGCCGCAGAAGCTCCAGATGCTGAATAATGTGAGCTTCTAGTGCAGCAGATATTCTGCCTTTTTCACCCGCAGCATCGCCGTTACCGAGAAATCCACTGAGCGAGATTATCTGGCACAATAGATGCTCGAATAACACGCAGCCTCCTTGGCTGAGCGCCAGCTCAGCAGCTTCTTTTCGGTCTTTTTGCGCATCAGCACCTTGCAGTGTTTGATGTAATCCATCACACAATGCCTCGATAACTTCAGCAAGGACACGATGAGGCAAGCCAGCCACGTCTTGTACAAAAAGTCGAGTCGGTAAGGCTCCAGTGATGTCCGAATCCATTGGTCGGAGCCGACTTCACTCCTCGGGTCGTGTTCACTGTCGAATGTGTGTGCCGCAGGCGCATTTTCTCCAAGAATAAGGTCATCAGCGTGAGAAGCCAGCTCAGCCGGACTGAGCTGATACCAGGGAGAACAATGAGAACTTGTCGTCGTACCAGATGTTGATGCCGAACTGCCAACACTGGAGTCGATAGCTGATAGCAGCCACGCGACACTGCTAAAAAAGCCACCCGCATCGCCATTACCACCGTCCTCGTCTTGTGCGCTAAGTGCAGTCTTTCGGTCTAGTTTTTCTTTATTTTGGTACACCAGGTCAATGAACACTAGACGTTCCTTGGCCGTCATTAACTCCGATTTCATGTCATCGCTAGGATACAAGATCCGAGACGGGACAACATGAAATTCACGCAAGCCATTAACAACATGAAAAAAATACTTCCAAGAGCGACTACGGAGCAACAAGCTGCATGTGCTCAGAAGTTTGAGTACAGCTGCAGTCGCGACTGGAGCACTCTGGTTGTCACAATACACCCTAGCACCGTTCTCGCGGCCGTTGTACCCCACGGAATAAATGTCCGACGAAAGTAGCGCCGTGTACTTGCAAAGGCGGACGAACACAGAGTTACAGTACTCCACCAACGACAAATGATATGCTACCGTTGCACATAGCACAAGACCATTGCATGCAAATTGCAAAGCACTTTTCTGAGGAACATAGTGCATCTCATAGCCGCTACCTACTGAGAGGTCTTCGCCCCGAGCTGCATCTCTTGCTTGAGAATCCACGACAAATTGTTGAAACACGCTGCTGAACGCCCGAACAAGATTTTGTTGCACCAGCTCGTAAATGTGGCGATCATACTGATCACCTGACGAAGCATAGCGAGACTTCAGTTCATCTCGCTGCTTCCATGTGGTGTCACTTTCGTGCAACTTGGCAGCTCCGTTAGTGGGGCTAGAAACACTTGGCACTCGTCGAGTTTGCGTCATCGATTGCATAACGCCAGGTACTGGGGGTGACGCGGAACTTTTGGCAGCTCCAATACTGCAGGGGGCGCGTAACGACTGGAAACGTAACGACGGACGGAGCATGATCAAACGCGAGTTGCGCGGATCGCTTTCTGCTCGATTGAGCAAGTCTTTCCATCGAACGCTCGTCACCTCACCGTGTTTGCCACCGTCTTCGAACGTCCTAATCTCCTCATTTGCAATAGCGTTGTATAGTTCTGCCAAGAAGTCCTCAGGCAAATCGAGGCCATTGGAAACTTCGTGACCATAGTTTTTATTGTTCTTGATAAAGTCAGCCAGCTTCATCTTCTTGTCACCTCGGATATTCGGATTGTGCAAATCTGTGTTGAGCATTATCAGACTGAATGACAGCAAATATGCTACGTCCATTGAAGCCATGACAAATCGCTCCCGGCACTGTTCATATACTTGCAGCGAAAAGGCGTTGAGTATGCGGTCAATTTGTTGAGCCTCTCCTGGAAGACGGAAACTTGCGAGGAACATACGCAGCGCAGTAACGATGCTCTCTCCTTCAAAATTAAACGACCGCACAAAGTCGGTAAGAACATCACGGTGAAAGTCGATAGTGTCGGCTTCATGGATATCGCTTTTCTCAAAGCCCTTCACTTCCTTGCCTATTGCACCCAAGTATACACCGACCGAGGTTTTGCTTAAATCTTGAGGAAGAGATCGAAGGAACATGGCAAAAGACTTGCTGTCGAGCGGGATAGGCAGGAAGCCGTTCTGCTGCAGGTACTTGATTCCCGCCAATGGCTTTCGATTGAACTCCTGAATGCCGCGTTGAAAGAACTTTTTACGCTTTTGCTTTTTGCACAGTGCTACTGCTGAAACAAGCTCGGAGCCAGTTAGTAAGCATTCTTTGTCCTCCTTGATTTCAAGCGCGTCCTCATTGTCGCTCGATCCACTGCTGTCTTTACCATCCAGAACAGGCACGTTTTGCTGCGTTCGGGTATACACGACGTGGAGTGAATTGTACAGTCCTCGAAGGGCAATCTCACCAATCGCTTGAGCCCAAAGAAAGTGCGATTCTTCGTGTGACTCAAAACAAGCAACGTGGGACTGCTGAGCCACTTGCGAAAGTAGCCCAAACAAAGTCTGCGTCAAGTCACAGCGATTATCATCGCAGTCGTAGTTGACGTACAAGTCGGTAAGCAGCGTTGCCTCAGCAAGCAGGTCCACTAAGCAGTCAAAAATTTCAAACGAGATGCTGTACAGCTGGACCTTCGACAACATGTCGCCGGTAAAATCGTCAAGCGCAGACTCTACCAATGCAGCAGGCTTGTCGTCTCTCTGACTGTCCATGTTTTCTACGGATAGAGCTACATCATCTCCACGCGGAAAATCTGGGTTGTTTACATTCATATTTGACAGACACCAGTAAAGCGTGTGGTAAAACACGCCATCAAAAATTGCCTCAATTTGCATTTTGATCTCTGACCGAAGCTTTGACCATAACAGTCTGATAATTTTCAGACAAACGATAGAAATATTCCGCTCCGCGCAAGCGCTGCACACCATCACAAGAATGTGTAAGGATCAGATCAGCGAACGAAATAGAACTATGCAAAACGCACCCTAGACGACAGTAACGTAGAACGGCTTTACACAAATCATCCTTGATGAAAAACATCAGCGACGACACACCCATAATCAATTCGGCATCGCAAGCGACCAGCGCACACTCGAGTAAGCTGAACGATAGCAGCACTTCACGTTGGCGAATTGTGCTTCCAATAGACGATATAGCGGCATCCGAATCGGGAGGTGACGAATCGTTTCGCTGGTGTAATTTCTGGCATAAAAAGCCCACAATTTTGACTGCACAAGGCAGTCCAAATCCCGTTCCAAGCGAAGGCTCGGTATTAGCAGCGGAAGCAGAATCCGCATATATCGCAGGGTTAGAAAACACAAACGTCACTGTATCGTGTAGGAAAATCGCGGCGGTTGAACGCAATGGAAGCGTGACACGTGACTACATAGACCACATCAACAAAGCAGAAAAGCGATTAGTACACACCTTTGCCCATTTTACCCACAAGAATGCAAAAGCCGCGAGTAAGCAATGTTGCAAATCGCACATCAGACTGACTGCCACGATTGAGAGCGTAGAGCGACTGCACGAGCTGCCACATCGAGTGGTCTGACAGTCGAGCGCCGTAAGGCGAGCGCATAACCGCGTGCAACACGTGGGCGACAAGCACGAGCGCGTTCTGGTCGCCTTCAACGCTCTCTGCTTGGAAACTGCAATGGCTCACTGCGTCCACAATGTCGGACACAGTGTCCGCCGCTACGTTCTCATCCTGGACGTCTACCCATGGCCACAATTGCACAAAACTCATCAGCGCTTGTAGCGAAGCACTCGTCACCGCGCTGCTGGTGTGATTGTGTTGGATCACATCGAGAAACGGCTTTATGACGGTTAGAGGTGACAACTCGGTCACGTCTATTAGAAACAAGCAGAAAAAGAACACCGTGTCAAAAAAAAGGGGTTACAGCTTCAACACTGCGCACATAAAAAGTCTCTACGAACCATAGCAATACAGAAGACGTCCACGAAGCGTCAAAAGGCTTTGTAAGACCGATACGGGGCTTTCCTAGGTCCGTATCACATGAACACGTAACGATCAGTGGACTATTTTCAAGCATGAATTAGACCAGTACAAAGACACTTTCGTACATCCTCCATCTCTAGGCTAGCAGTCTTCGATATCAGGTACCCATACTGATGTCGCGCGAGACTCAAGACGCTCTGGATGTCGCTCAACAGCACAGCCCGCACGGCTGCCATCTTCTCACTGCACAAAAGGATTGTTTCGGTTCATTTGGCCGTCTGCTCGCGAGTTGGGTTAATTACGTCGACCACACCATCATGGTTGGTGTGGTGCACACCGTCGTCATCCCTCGGCCACTGTCGTGGATCGTGTACACCACACGAAACTTGACTCACTTGACACGACCAGCACATCTGCTTGACGCCTGCCATGCACGTGGTGGCGCTCGTAAGCGGCGGCAAGGACAGCTGCTACGCCATGATGGAGTGTGTCCGCTACGGCCACAAGATCGTGTGTCTTGCGCACCTGCACCCACCCACTCATTTGTCCGCAGACGAGGCAGAGATCGACTCGTTCATGTTCCAGAGTATCGGGTACCAGACCGTGGAGCTCATCGCCGCGAGTATGGAGCTCCCGTTGGTCTCCGAGACGATTACGGGCACTGCCGTGAAGACGGATATTGACTACTACGATTCCGTTGCTGGAGATGAGGTCGAGGACCTCTTCCGTCTACTGCAAAAGGTCAAGCAGCAGTTCCCAGACGTTGAGGGCGTGTGTGCCGGTGCCATTTTGTCCAATTACCAGAGAAATCGAGTGGAAAACGTGTGCGTAGGAAGTTCTAAGATGTGCTTTTTGTAACGGAGTGGTGTAGAGCTGAAGGTGGTGATGCACAGGTGCTCGCGCCTTGGCCTGACGTCACTGGGATACTTGTGGCGCCGCGAACAGACCGAGTTACTGCAGGAGATGATTGATTCGAATGTAGAAGCTATCTTGGTCAAGGTGGCATCCATTGGTCTGGACGTTCGGATGCATTTGGGAAAGACGATTGGCGAGCTACAAGGTCAACTCTTGATGCTGGTACCGTAGAAAACTGTCGTCAAGCGAACGCTGGATACTTTAGATGCTTTGTTTTTGGTTTCCTTTTGTAAGAGTGACGTTCGGTTGTTGATGTTGTTGCTGCCGGCGGTCTTGTGCAGAAAGAAAAGTACCAGTTGAACGTCTGTGGCGAAGGCGGAGAGTACGAGACGTTCACTTTGGACTGTCCGCTTTTCAAAAAGCGCATCGTGATGTGAGCTTTTACGACGTTAGCTGGTTGTTGTACCGAGCAAGCACTAAAGATGCGACGTCGTGTTGTTTTTGTGTTTTAAAGCGATGAAAGCCACACGGTGATACACTCGGACGACTACGTAGCTCCAGTAGCCTTCTTGTCGATTGACAAGTCCCACCTGGAAGACAAGGAACCTTCGGACTCGTTGCAACTCGCCTCTCGGGTCCCTAAACCTTCGCTTTGGCAGCGACCAAGCAGTGCGACGAACGCAAACAAAAAGCCTGCCACCGTGCTAGCAATTAGCCCGCAGTCTGCGAAAACTGTCCCTCCTTTCGGCCGGTTCCGCGACCAACTGCACCTGTCAGGCCTCATGAGCAGCAGGGCTGGTGATGCCTCGGTGTCGCTGAAAGAGGAAATGGTTGATATTTTTGACCAGCTGGACACTATTCTTAGAAGTCAAAACATGGTAAAGGCAGACGTGTGCTATCTGCACCTGTATGTACAGGATATGGTCGCATTCCGTCAGCTCAACATCGAGTGCATTCGATACTTTGGGCTGAACTTGCCGCCGTCGCGTAGCTGCGTCGAGACGAAGGCACTATCGGACGTGTCTGCTCGTGTACTTTTGGACTGTTTCGCGTTGCGTGGCAGTGGTGAGCAGAAGTTGCAATCGCTGCGTGTACGCCGCGACGTCCTGCACGTGAAGAGTATATCAGCCTGGGCGCCGTGCTGCATTGGTCCATACAGCCAAGCAAATGTGCTTCATAGAGCTCTCATTTTGTTGGCAGGTCAAATTGCGCTGTATCCGCCGACTATGGACCTCGTGGCAGGTGGCCAAGCCGTCCAGGCTACGCAATGTTTTCGCAACGCCTGCCGTGTGCTAGAAGCCCTGCAGTCCAATCTCCGCCATGTGTGTTCCGGCGTCATATACACCACTGGAGGCGCTGACAATCGAGAAGCTCGAGAGTCTCTAGTCGCTGGTAGCCGTCACCATCTCGTTACAAACGCAGGGTTGCGCGATGAGTTTGAGTCAACTGATGACAGCGATGAAAGCGACGACGAAGTGAGCAAAAGTGATGCGCGCTTGGAATTTGTGAAGCAGGCCCCGTTGCTGGTCGTGCAGGTGTCGAATCTGCCACGCGATGCTTTAGTAGAAATCGAGCTTCAAGCACTCACGCATATTGCACTGAAATATTTGGTACCGCGCAGCTTGACGTCTTCACGCTGTTCAACGGATATGCGTTTCGACTGGCAGGTTGGCATGATTCCAAGAGCTCTTTGCCAGATCGTGTGCACTGCGTCAATCGAAAGCAGTAAACGCTACTCCGATACACGAGCGTTGGCGAAAGCAGTCGCAGAAGGGACTTGGGCTTGCGTGCTGGACAGCCTCGTGGAAGCCTTAATGCCTTGGGACCGCGTGATATTCGTGCGCACCTTCTACGTGGCAACAGCTTTCTCAAGCGAGGAGGAGCTGGCTAAGACGTATTACGAGACTGTGACAGCCCGAGGTAAAGTTAACAGCATGCCCGGCATGACGCTCATTCCTGTAGATGCTGTCCAGAGCGATGCAGTAATCGCGCTGCAGGTAACAGCACAGGACCTCGATAAGCTGGAGACGGAGCTCTGGCTGCACAAGCAAATTTAGACGAATACACTCAGGCAAACGGCAGGCGACATAAGTATATCAACAAGTTACGACGCGAAGTTGCGTACGATGCTGTACTGCCAGAATGAAGTTGTAATCGCTTGCATGTTCATCGTCTATTGCCGCCCCGTTTGTGACGCTGGTCACCCGGAACGCGATTGCCGCCGGAACTTTCGTCCCGATCTTTGCGCTTACGTGGCTCACGGTCTTGGGATCCCGAACGCCCGACTCGGTCTCCTCGGTCGCGTCCTCCCCGCTCCCGATCTTGAGCTCCTGCTCCTCTTCCTCGACTACGTTCGCGCTCTCGAGGCCGGCGATCGCGATCACGATCAAGGCCACTACTTCGACCACGACCAATATCACGACCACGACCACCTTCACGGTCTCGGCCACCATCACGCTCTCGGCCACCATCACCTCGGCCACCGTCACGGTTACGACCACCGTCACGGTCACGACCACCGTCACGATTACGACCACCGTCACGATTACGACCACCGTCACGGTCACGACCACTTTCAACACCATGGCCACTATCACGATCACGGCCATTGTCACGGTCTCGGCCACTGTCACGACCGCCATCACGGCTTCGGCCACGATCACGATCTCTGCCATTGTCACGGTCTCGTGCATGGCCGTTGTCGCGATCTCGCTCACGGCCAGCGTCCCTGCTTCGTTCACGATCTCGCTCACGGCCTCTGTCACGGCCAGCATCCCGGCTTCGTTCGCGGCTTCCGCCAGGGCCACCGTCACGGTCCTGGTCACGCTCGCGCTCCCGACCTTGGTCTTTGTCACGTCCTCGGTCCTTCTCGCTATTGCCTTTGCCCTCATCCCCATCTCGACGTCCACTACCCCGCGAATCATCTCGACGGGGACGATCACGAGGTCGAGACGATCGATCGCAACTTGTTTCTCTTGATTTACCAGTTTCTCTTGATTTACCTCGTCTGTCGTCTTGGTCATCCTTCCCGTTACGATTGCGATCGTCAAAGCCGCCCCGACCACCACCTCGACCTCTACCGCCGCCAGGTCCACCGATCCAAGGAGGTCCTCTCCCCGGTCCAGAAGTCCATGGCGCTCCCATGGGAGGCCCATTCCAGGCCTGCTGACCCACAAAGTTTGGCGGAGGCCCCATTCCAGGGTGCCATCCCCTTGGCGGTTGTCCACCGATAAATCCACCTAAAGTTCCTCGGGGTGGTGCGCCACTCATCGGAGGTATACCGCCAGGACCCCACTCAGCCGCTCGACCATCTACATTCGGGTTGTCTCCGCCTTCAGACTTCATCGATCCAAGAAATCCACGACCAGGGGGCATGTCTCCTCCATGTCCTTGCAGTTTCGCATCCCGATCACGGATCGTCTGCTGCAGGTTCGCTGCACTCACCGCCTGTCGTGACGCTTGTTCTCTCGACTTTTCGACTGCCAAGTCTCGTCTCAACCTTAACTGCTTCGCGGCATACTCTCGCCAGCTGTGCTCATCAAAGCCGTAATTAAAGTAATCCGAGATATCCACACCCGGTTTGCGCCACGGTCGGTCTTCCAGCAGGTCAATATCCACGTCAAAAGCCGTGCGACGGCCGCCAAACATGGCCATATCGTCCACACCATCAGTTGCCGCTGCACCGGCCTCTCCAGTCTGCGCACTCGTCCCACTTCCAGTCCCTGCAGTGCTAGCCCCGCCAAGTTGAGAGCTGCCAAAACTGCCTCGTACGTAACGATTCCCCCCTCCCGTAAACCGCAGCGTCGGTTTGCTGCTTGAATGATCCGTACTTAGCAAAATAGCCACGTCTTCCTCGTCGTCGTCGTCGTCGTCGTCCTCCTCCTTCTCCTTTAGATCCACCGACGCGTCTTCGTCCAACTTGGACACAGCTTCGCCATCTTTTGTAGAATTACTAGCACTCAAGGCTGCGGCCGATGCTTCTGCCGCTTGGGACGTGGCTGACGCGTTCAATTGGATCGAGACGCCGCCATAGAGCTCTTCGTCCTCATCTTGTTCCTGCTCGTCCTTTTTTAATGGCGTCTCAGCTTTCACGGGCACTTCAGCACTGGCTTCCCACGTGGCTCTTGATTCCTCTGTCTTGGCTTCTTCCTTGATAACACTGGCGCCACCTGGGCGCGTCGTGACGAGCACGTCCTCGCCAAAGTCCTCGTCGTCCATGTGACTTGCTCCTGCGTGCTCGATTGAGGTAATTTTAGTCGTACAAAATAGCTCGCACGGTGATTGGTCTGCTTGGTTTTGTACGCACGTCGATGCAGTTTTCATCGATGTACGACCAGGTCTCGGGTCGGGTTGGACCCGTCACTCGATGCTGCTCCCAATGCGTACTTTATCGAGTCTTTTGTAAATAGCGCGTTGATGGTTTCGACGTGGTGATTGGCCCGCACGGTCAATGCTTTGCGATTTGTATACTCGTGCCCCCGCGGCCAATAGTTTGTGTCATCCTCGACTGCCCCACCTCGTCCAGTTCTTCTTGTCTCGTTCGACTTTGCAGGTAAGCGATGCGAATGTGGAGGAAGCCACGACAAAAAGTGGATCAAGAGGGAGAGCAGCGAAAGCACGACAGTCCAGTTCGTGAACAAGTCGATCTATAAAAGCAGCACGTCATTAAGAACTGCTGAATAAAATGTCGATGGCAGCAGCAGCAGCAGTCGATTAGAACTTAGTAGAGGTCTCTGAAGACCGATCTAGACTGCAGAGCAAAGCGCTTTGCCCTCTCCAGTTTCTTGTCAGCTGCTGCATCGTCCCTCCGCTACTCTCCTCTTGTCCACGTTGCAGTCGTCCCCATAGCTTCGATGCTGCTACTAATGATGACAATGGGATCTGCCGTTTCTAACGGGGTTGTGGTCGTGTCATTGATTGCTGCTGCACAGCTTAGTCCAAGATGCCGCACTCTTTTGGTTACCGCGCGCGTACGCGCGACATGTTTGCGCGTCCGTTCCGTCAGAGCGGCATGATCAAGATGTCGACGTACCTTCGGACGTTCAAGGTCGGGGACTACGTGGACATTAAAGCGAACGGTGCCGTGCAGAAGGGTATGCCCCACAAGTTCTACCACGGCCGCACTGGTCGCGTGTACAACGTGACTAGACGTGCTGTCGGTGTGCGTGTGAACAAGGTCGTGGGCAACCGCATTATCCACAAGCACATTAACGTGCGCATTGAGCACGTGCACCAGTCCAAGTGCCGTCTCGGCTTCCTCACGCGCGTAAAGGAGAATGAGCTTAAGAAGAAAGAAGCTCGTTCTACTGGCGTCCGTGCGCAGATTAAGCGCGTGCCGAAGCAGCCCAAGGCTGCCTACACGTTGAAGGCCAAGGGCACCAAGCCTATTACTATGGCGGCACAGCCGTTTGTGGACCTCATGTAAGCAGGAATGGTGCTGTTCGTCGTTGCTTGATGGCATGGGAGGCAGTACCTGCGCTTTGTTGAAGATGTGGGGACCATTCAGTCCGTGCCAGCACGTCGTAATCACCTCCAGGACCTGAGCTTAATGAAAGAACGAGTCGAATGTGCGCGTCGTGTCTCTGTGTTCTTGATCTCTTCTGATGCAACTCCTCTATCGCTACTAATGCGATAGAGGAGCTGCATTTGCATTAGCCCTCCTAACAAGATGTTTCGCATATCTCCCGTGAGATATCCCTCATGTTATGAGATATCTCATCTCTTTCGGTTCGGCCTATGTGACGACCATTATTCGATTGACAAGGGAGTCAATCGCTCGAATGGAGGATGAAGCAGCTTTAGCCGAGCGTTACGCTGATGTGCGTTGCCCGTTCTAAGTACATGATAGAGAGCTGCTAGTAAATGTGACTAGAACGGCATTCTCTTTCTTCTGTAACTCATCTCTCTTGTATTACTTTGTGCTGCGTTATTCAGTGGCTGAACGAGTTGGAGCAAACAAATCCAGAAGGTTATCAACACGCGATTGCGACGTTGCAAAGTCAACTGCAGTCTGCTGGCTCAGGGCTAAATGATGGTCCTGGAATACCAAAAGGTTGAGTAAATCGATCGCTGCTGCATATGCTCACAGTAGATAGCCCTTGCAGCTGTTGATGATACTTTGGTTTGTCTAGAGTTCAAGCCTCGGTTTCCTGGTGACAAGATTATGGAGGAGAAGGGCTTGAAAGCCACAGCAGAAGGGGTATGAGTGTTTACTTGGAGTGCTCAAGCAGTAAAGTGGTCGTCGACAGAGAGCTGAGCTAGTTTGTATGTTGTGGACAGGTATACGTTGATGTGAAAGCTGGTTTCACGATCAAGACAAGGGACGTGAAGAACAGGGAGAAGGTATCTATCGACGACTGTTTTGTTTCTTTGCATACATCGTGCGATACCTGCATGGATATTGGATCGTCCGATTCGAAGGTGATGACATGCGCGTTACTAGGTGTTTGTGAACGTAGTCTTCACCGACGAGATTCAAGAGTTTTCGGAGAAGAGAAAGCTGGATAACGAAGGCAAGGAACACGTGGTAACGGCCTTGTCACTGTACTATAACGAGTATCTGCGAGCTTGATACATACAAGCTGCTGCGTGTTTGTGTAGGGCATTCATGTGCCATTAAGTCTGGGTGCGCCGCATGAGGTGAAGGACAAGATGGGAGCAACTTCGGTGGCTTTTGACGTGGCTGTGAACACGAAAGTCGTAGAAGACTGCAAGGCCGACAAAACAGGAGCGTTTTACCGCTTTGTCTGCGAGCTGGCGATCAAATACATTGATCAAAAGGTGAGTCTTTGACTCCTCTGGCTTTGAACGCTTACCGAGCAACCAGCATGACGTTTTTCGGTGGATGCAGTACAAAGTCAAGCTCGATCATTGCGACGAAAAGCAGCAGTTGGCATACCAAGGGGCACTACCTCCGCCAAAGCACTATATTCGCAAAAAGCAGGCACCAATCATTGAGATAGTCACCACAGATGCGTCAAAGAAGGTTCGTACTTCCAAACCTGCAGCACGAAAAGTATCAAGTTTTTCGAAAACAGCTACGGCGTCCTACGAGATATTTGAGGATCGCGAAGATGAGCGAACTGTTTGCCAAAGATCTCCTGCTGTGATGAAGGGCAGTACGCCGCTATCACCCGAGATACTGCTGCAGGCAGGGGATCGACTGATCGTCTCCATTCAATTCAAGAACGAAGTGCATGCAACTACTGATGTTGAGGTCGAATTGCAAGCTGAGTTACTGACTATCAAAGCCGCCACGCATCGTGATTTGGGTAAGTGCGTGCAATGCTCATGCTGAGTGGGGAGACGAATCATTCATTCGCTGTCGTTGTTTTCCAGAAATCTTTTTGCCTTACCCCGTGGAAGTAAACTTGCCGACAATTTGCTTTGACCAGGTCCGCAACAAAATGGACATCACTCTTCTGATTGACAAGTCCTGGAATACTCTGGGACCTGATTGTGGCTCAGCTCCGTGGCTTCTTGCTCGTGAGTTGGCTGAACACAACGACTCGCAGGTTTCAGGAAACGATAACTCTGCCAGTGGAAAGCCAGAGACATTGGCGGAGATGTTCCTCCTTGCCAATACCAATTTGCTGAACGATGGCAGTGCACCCACAAAAAAAGCTGGCAGACGATGGGACCCTGTCATGGATGATAATGGTCAGTTACCGGAAGATCAATTTCATCGCAAGGATGCGCTGTCCATGCATATCTTGGAGCAGCAGCGAATGGAGCGTGAGCAGAAAGAAAACAAAGTAGTTGCACAGAAACGTACTAAGGCCGAGGAAGTGCATTTGGAGACTCACGGTGTGGAGAAGCTGTATCCGAATGAGCCGGAGATAACATACCTTGACGTAGAAGACATCGTTCGACAGGAAGAAGCAAGACTTGACCGCCACATACAACAGCAACAGGAAGCGGACGACCATGAAAATGATGACATGTCTGCGGAGAACGCAGAGCGAGTGGCAGCCAAATGGTCCGGGAACAACAGCACCCTCAATTTACAATCTGCTTTGGCATTCGATCTGCTCTAAGGTTCTCCTATTCACAACAAGTGGGGACCGCTCTAGTCTTTCTTAGCGTAGTCGCGAGCACCAAAGATGGTCGAACCAATGCGAACGTGCGTGCTTCCGCACGATATCTGCCGGCAAACAAACAAACAAATAATCAAGACAATGAGCACCTCATCACCAACTTTCCTACCTCGGGCGAAATGAAATAGCACACACTGACCGCGAGTTCAAAATCCCCCGACATGCCCATACTGGCAGCCAAGTCTGTCTCACCCTTCCCGATCGCCTCAGCCACGTTTTTCCGACAGACCACCAAACGGTCAAAACATTCGGACGTGGTGTCACCGTAGCGGCCGATGGTCATAAGCCCAGTGAGGTTTAGGTGCTCACAGGACGCCACGATATGGCAGGCCAGCTCAACTGAGCCGTCCGCATCGGTGCCTGACTTCTGCTCTTCTCCACTTGTGTTGACTTGCACCATCACATTGAGTTTTTCCGTGCGAAACTCACTCGACGCCTTATTGAGCGCATTCGCAATCTTGATAGAGTCAACAGTTTCCACCATATAAAGGTTGGGTACATCACGCACGAGTACTTTAGCCTTATTCGACTGGACGTGACCAATGTAGTGCCACTTGATGTCAGAAGGCAGCTGCGGTGATTTCTGGACCAATTCCTGAATCTATCAATATTCATTTATCACCCATCCCAAAGTGTTGAGTACTAGCAGAACAAACCGCTTTTTTGTAAGTTATGTAGTGTACGTACATAGTTTTCGCCAAAGTGGCGCTGATCGGCTTCGTATGCCTCCTGCAGATCCTCCAAAGGCTTGGTCTTGCTTACAGCCACGAGTGTACACTGCTGCTTCCATGGACTTTTGGCAAGGGCCTCAGCTACTTTGGCACGCACGGCCAGCAAGTTTGTCGTCACTGTCATTAGTGAGAAGCAGACCTGGCAACTCGGTGAACTCGAGGAAGAAGTGGTTTTATGAAAGTAACTCTACACTAAATTAGGACCATGTGGAAACTCGGCAAAAAGCAAAGCGCAGTATAAAATGACCACCGGCGTAGTCGAAAAACTTGAGTAATTACATTAGACTGACGCAGGAGCAGAAGGAACGGCTTGTAAAATTCCAGATTTTCAATGCTAGGTTGTCATTGCTTGGTAGAGGGTCATGCGATTGTGATGTCGGTTGGAATGCATCTTCAAGACCTGATTGAACTTAAGCTGAGACAGATTGAGACATGGACAGATCAGTGCATTGTACAAAAAGGACGTTGAGAATACTCCCCACCGCTGGTGGTCGGGCCGTTTAGTGAGAACGGGGCAAAGTAAATCATACGACACATTGGCTAAACCTTATATATACACATAGTCTTCATTTCACCTTCGCGGTATCAGGAATTGCGATCACATTCCGATAGGGTTATGAACCCAAGTGGACCGATGAAGTAAACGTTGAAGGCGCTTTGCGTCGAAAGGCTTCATAAATGTAACGGGGTAGCCGTTTCTCCCTATTGACGCCAAACGGTGTCAATAGGGAGATTGTCCAGAGTGACAATTCCCTGCCGATATTATTCGAGATGGATAATATTGAAGGATGAGTATCCCTTTAAGATAATATTCATGCGCTGCTCAAAGATTGGTTGATAAAAGACATATCAACCATAGATTACCGCCAATCGCTGCTAGACTCGCGTAATGAGTGGTGAGCAGGTTGTCGTCATACGACGATGAAGATTAATGCAATTAGATAAAGACTGAAGTTATATTGATGGCTTAACTCTATTAAATACAGTTCTCTTTTTACCTTTTACTTAAACTAGCTGTTTGAGTGGATTAGCTTCCTCTGAACGTACGAGTGTGCGTAAAATTTCGTGGCACCCCAAACAAAGGGTGCCATATTACAATAAACATGCCCGCTGGGTTCACCTCGTGCAACAGCATTTTCTTTTCTCAACCTGCTCTCGCACACACTGCCATCGCAGCTCAATGTGACGTGTTCGCCGGCTGTACGTTGGCGATTTCGCCATTGTGTAAGCTGCCTGATTATCAATTTCAATGCTTGAGGTGACTTTGTGATCCATAAGAACCTCTTGAAAGATATTGTACTCATCATTTGTGTAATGGGGTTACACGCGGTTATTGAACCGGTTATGTTGTGTGTACACACCAAGTAAAGATCGGTGGATCTGAGTGGTACAGCCTTGGTACCACGTACTTAGGGTATTACCGCGCCTTGCCGGGTAGGGATAAAGGATAAGACTGCTGTCATAAGATCGCAATGTAGAAGTCAGTCAGACAAGGTTTTATGGTATCATTACCGTAGTTCAAGATTCAATAAAGTGCAGTTCCTCTTTTGGATCGTTGGACACAAGTGCCTAGTCAAGGCGCAGTGTGATATAAGAGCAGTAGCCTTGTCAAGGCGCTTACTCTTGTTTAACTAGTGTTTACTAGTTGTTGTGTGATTTAGTGGATCATAATTCCTTTGGAACCGGGATTGTAAAGCTTGAACGACTGTACGTCGTTGTTAGTTTGTTACAACTAAAAGACTCTTTGAGTCTAAATCTTCCTTTGTAAAAGGAGCGCTAAGTAGCTACACTACAAACTTCCTCCATACTTGCTTCACATGCAGCCACATACTTCGCTTTAGCTGTTGATAGTACACTTATGAGTATGAGCCAGCGGACATCCATGCAAATGCACCTCCAGCAAGCATAAATACGATCCCATGTGCGCTCTTTAGCTGTACGGAGATGTTAGCTCAGTCACTATCACAATGACCGACAAGAAGAGATTACTTTTGATGTGCAAACTTTCGTGAGTGCATAATCTTGTAATGCAGTGTGCTAACTAGATACCGTAGAGTGAGTTTCAAGTTGCCCACATGGTTTGTCGATGGTTCGGCGACGAATTGGCATAACTGGCCCACTATGAATGCTAGGTCGGGTCATTTACCAAAAGTTAGGTACATGAGCGTACCAATAGCTTCTCAATTAAGAAAAACTAGTTTCAGATGCCTCGTTTGACATCCGTGCTTGTTAACTTCCATAGGTTTGTCCACAGCATGTACGTTTTCGTACCCAAATTTCAATAAAATATCCCGTGCAAAATATTCTTGACGATTCCATATACATTTCGCCTCAACACCCAATGACTAAGTCAGAAATCCTTGATCTTTATTCCCGCACTCTTCATCAAGTTTCCGATCAGGTACTTCTTGTATTGCACATTATTTGTTGCCACAACTGTCATCGACATACTTTATTAAGTGAATGATGCTTTCTCCTTACAATTGTAGTACCAACATGGCTATGCCAACGATCGCCGGTAGCCACTGTGACCCTATTTACCATACTTATCGAGACTTACGCATGGGCACGGCTATTTTGGCAACCTAGTGCAACGAAGCGCGCGAAGAATATAGATGCTAAGGAGGATCCAGCTCAAGAAGAAAATGTGCAGCACGAAATCATGTTTGCGGGTGTGTACGAGTGCGACTCCAAGAACTTTGGTAACGCGGCGCGCAGCGCGAACAGAAAGTTTGGTACAAGGCAATGCAATAGGGACTACACGCTCTCGAAGAAAAGATCTTGTGGCGCCTAATTAATAAATTTATAGATAGCAGCGCACTGCACACAAAGTGGTTTTACAGGACGTAGAACAATGCTGACGGACTCCTCAAGCGTCTAATAGCTAGACTTGTGGCGTGTGATAATGAACAGGTTTGAAAGTTGACTGCCAATTCACCTTCGCGGCATACATGGATACGTCGACGATGAAGATGATTTTGGCGCTTGCGGAAATCTGGGGCATGCTGGCGAAGCACAAATAATCCAAACGCCTACGTCGAAGCAGAAAAGCAATCACAGTTAAAGATTTCTGCATGTTCCTCAAAACATGGAAGTCAGCGAGGACACGCTCAAGGCACTCGGCGCCGCGACAAGAAGGATGTAGTAATTCTGCTGCGTAAAGCTTGTATGGCCTCAAGCAGGCCGGCCGGCTTTGAATCCAGCTCTTGCACGCTCGGTTTCTTGAAGCTGACTTCAGCCAATGTGTCTTGGACATGGGTATCTACTGACAGATCAATGATAGCCAGCCAGTCGTCATGGGTGCGTACGTAGACGACCTGCTGGAACCGGAACCAACATAGCTGCTGTCGACCGTTTCTTCACCCATTTAAAATCCTGTCCACCAAGGCCTCGGCATCGTCAGCAAGTTGCTCGGGATATGCGTGGAAATCGACGACGACGGCAGCTACATGCGAGAACAGTCGGAAGCCATCGACGAGCTGTCGCGCGAGCATGGACTTGAGAGCACCAAATCAACCCGAGCCCTGATCGGAGCGGACTGCTATGAAGCGCAACAAGAATACTGATTGCTGTTGAATGCGAATGGGAGATACGGAGGTCCGAGTATTAGGACGTTTCAATCCTTTGTCGGCAGTACAATTTGGATGGCGCGCTACACTAGGCCGTATACAGCGTTTGCAATGCATAAAGCAACGCTTCAGACCCGTAATCCAGGACTGCAAGACCTTAAGCTCGCGAAGCGAATCATGCATTACATGATACGCAAGGCATTTTCAAGATGCGCATGGATCTGAAGAAGAAGTTTGATGGCAAGCTGCAGCTTGTGTCCTACTCGGAAGCCGACTTCGCTGCTGACAAGCCGGAAATGAATTCCTTGACAGGAGGCATCATTCGGTTAAACGGGATCCGGTGAGCTGGACGGCGAAGTAGTAGGGAGAGGTCACGCTTTACACGATGGAGGAGGACTTTGTAACCGCTTCGGAGTAAGCGTGCAAGCTGCTCGGCATCAGGGATATACTGTGCGAAATGGGGTATCTTTTTGTGCTCACAATGCCACTCTACGTGGACAACTAAGCAGCGTTGAGACATTTGTACGGCGAAGCATCGTCTTTGAAGCTGAAGCACATCGATGTGCGTCTGAAGTTCGTCTGCAGCTATGCCCGACGTGGTATAGTTGTGGTATAGTGCGTGCGCTCAGAGATGCAGCTGGTGGACCTGTTGACAAAGGCCCTATACACGGCAAAGCTTGCAGAATTGTGCAAGCTGCTGCGACTGGAGTTTACATGCAGGGGGAAGTCACGGCCGAGGAGAAGTTTTGGGATTAGAGTGTGCTTGAAAAGAGTGTCATTGTAAGTACGGATGCGGGCGAGGCGCGCTAGACGACAATAGGAACGGCGGACGCTGAATTTGCGTTCGTAATGAGAATACGTTGTGCGACACAATATGCGAGACTTTTTATGACGGGTGAATGAGAAGGATAGAAATCTAGTGGTCAGGAAGGATGGAGAGGGAGAATAATCCGAGGAAAAGCGAAGAAAATGACAGAGTCCTATAACTACAGTGCTTTGTAATGCTCCTCAGACGACATGAATATAAAACAGCTGCTGCTGACCGGCGCTGTTTGATTTGATCACGGGCGCCACCTTCTTGTATATTTAAGGGGAACCTCAAACTCAACGTGACGTTGCAAATTGTTCGGGCTATAGAAGCAAGCGTGAATCCCTCTTTGACCATGTCCGGGTCGACAACCGTGCAGTCTACCCAAAAGTGATTGAAGAAAAGGCAGCTACGGCAAAATTTGCGTTTTCTCTTGCGTGTGCATCATCAGCGCCTCGATATGGAATAGGATGTCGAGCTGCGGAGCATGTAGTACTCGTCGATATCCTTGAGATCCCTATGATTTTAAATCTTGGCACCCATCAATATGCGCTGAAGAAGTTTTTAATATCGGCACCGCGTGGCATGACCGAGAGTACAGACGTCAAGAAGTGGATGCGACCCCAGTCTCGAATCTCTTCCATAAGAAGTGAGCTACTGTCGATCACAATAACCTGTTATAGCATCGAGTCCGTTTCGTCCTATATTTTCGTCCTTTCGTGTTTGGTGTGACTGCCATGAGAATATAAACGCGGAATTGATATTTTTCTATTTTTTAATTTCTTTAGAATATATGACATTCTAGAGAATTCTTTAAACCGAAGGTCGTCTATTGCCTAATATTCTCTCGTGGCGCGCTTGTTAAACATTAAAGAAACGATAGGAATTAGGGAAAGAAAGCCATTTATTAAGGATCTGGAGCTGGCAGGCACATGTAATTGTCGCTTTAAATTGATAAATGTACCCGCGAAGTCAAACGATCCTAGTGCCTGAAATAAAAAAGGCCTTTTCACCGTGTCGTATGCTTTTCCAATATCAGAAATCAATATATCTCGACTCCTTGCAGCAGGCTACTCAAGTTCCGTCTAAGCCGTAGAAACTGCGTCCAAAATCAGGGGGGGTCGAGCACTCAACGCGCGCCAATGCCACATGAACGAGTGATATCTTCTTTCTTCTGTTTTGACCACAGCTGTGGTCAGAAGAATGGGCAATTTTAGAGAGCATTTTGGATGGCGAGGAAGGTTAGTGGTTGTGCTTCTATACCATATCAATGGACTTGATTGAACATCAGTGCAACATGTGTAAAAAGGTGAGGTTATGATCGCATACTAACATGTCAGCAAAGTGTTATTGATATTTTTGTGTTTTGTAACTATCAATTTAAGCGGACAGCCAATGCACATGAGCTTCCAAGTTTTCTTTTCCTTGTCCTTCTTTCAACTTGAGATTATTCCGGTGAATTTTCTGCAGTCGTATTGAAATTGCACTTGTTGCCAACCGCCCCATATTATGTATGAGTTTTTTGAAATTTTCTATATTTTAGTACGGCAGCAAAAAAACTAAAGATTGCTTCATCACATTTTTAAGGGTTCAATATTCGACCTGAGTAAACTGGGGGTTAGTAAGACATGTTGTGAGCTATCATAGCGCCAAGACTATCAACACCTATGCCAATCTATATAGCTTTTTAGTGGTGTAGGATTTGCTCCAAAAATTTTGATGTTCGACTATTAATCGGACAATGAATTTAGTTTATTATTATCGCCAAAGTAAGATCCTTGTATTTCGAATAAAGCGGAATTCTTGGGTCGAATCTGCATATGATGAACATTTTATGGATGCTCAAACGTCGCGACGACGTTCAATTTTAATAATTATGAAACGGACACAGAAAGTAATATTACATTAGTTGGATACAATCCTTGCAACCTCTAGTGATAACATCGACTTGTCTTTGCATACGGATGAACTAGCGTAATGCGCCCGATGCAAAGGATACAAACCCTATTTATTTATAGATCCCAAGAATCACCGTAGACGAAGTGGTGATCGTGACTGACTAGGTATGAAACGCTTAACTTGAAATCCACTGATACTAGCAAATTAGTTCTGATCCGACACATCTATCTAGACACCAGCAAGACCTATTTTTTCGCATGCTGTTTGTTTGTTAAGGATATGCCTCTACATAAACACATGTGCTTTGATAATTCTAAAAAAACGGAACTACGTTAAACGTAAAGTTGAATCGGTGACTTGTGTAGTGCAGTAGGAAAAGGCGCACGGACGCTACTCGCATAGTACTTGCACAAGATCAGTTATTTTATCAATTTGTTTTAGCTACCAATTTTCAGGCATGACATCATTTCAGAGCACGACGTTACTAACTACCGGATAGAGATGAATATATCCATTTTTATCATTAGGATTGCCAGATGAGTTTTGAGCAGATTTGATACACAATTCGGTCTAAGGAAACCGCTTAGAAAGGGACTGTAAGTGGATGGGAGGCATTTCTGCCCGTAGATATGAAACATAAAGAAGATGAAGATATAGACGGGGGACCTCTGCGGAAACTTCGAGAAGCAAGAAGTTGTAGATACTTAATTTCAAAGCGTGGCACAGTATATTGTATTACGATGTATCACGGAGGTCGTCTATTTTTCTACGTACTTTGTAAAGGCGAACGATTAACAAATAAGATACCTATAGATGACTGCACCGCATCACGAAGCCTGCAATATCAGCAGATATGGAGAGTCATCCGGTGGATGGGATTGCATCAAGGCAGCGATTAAGTCTACCTGTTACCTGGATAGCGATCTTGAAGCACACACCATGACATAAGGCGTGATGCAGAAGTGCACGGGAGCCATCTAGTCGACACACCCACGTCTAGATAGTACTCGCGCTTACTTGGTTGACACCGAGTGCTCGCACCACAACCTGCAAAGGGAATTGAAAGAGTGCAAAACGCTGCGAAGGAGTTATCATTCGACGTGATTTTTAATACGATGGCCAAGATGCTCACCAAGAAAGTTCGACTTATCGCAGATTTTTACATGGAAGAGACCTCTATTGTGCCAAAATACACAACTCGCACAGTCATTGTCATAAACAACTCTAGGAACGTGTAAGCGCAGGGGATCGAGCCTAGCTTCCACATATTCGCGGTAGCGGCCGTTACTCGTGTATCTTGTTTTAATATCCCTTACCTTAATACCATCACCCCTGGAGGTATTCTGCTCAAGACAGAGCTTGCAGCACTCTCAAATGACGGAGCGTGCATCATAGATGTGATAAAGGGGATTCAGCAACGCCACAAGATTTTAAACAACTATTTGCGACCTACCTTTCAATGCTAGAATATCAGGGGATTCAAAAGGAAATCAGTTAACCTTATATAACTCCTCCGTGCATGCGACTATTTGCAACACATTCAGCAAAACCTTTTTTTAAATTCTTTTTCAGAACCACTTCGATAGTTAATTTTTTTCTTCGAGTCAGTGAATTTCAGCCGCGAACATGGCATCATTATGATCTCATCGTCAACAAAAGCGACGCATTAAAGAATTTTAAAAAAGCGTCCGCCAGCGTCTACAACCTTGAAGGTATAAAACAAGATGACCCAGCGCTTGTTAAACAGACAGCCATCATTAATACGTGCTATGCATACCGCGGCGCCATCATTGAGCAATTTAGCAGTGCGATTGAAGGCTTTGGACACTAGACTTTACCTCTAGGATATAATTGCACAAGTTTTTCTGTAAGCGTCAAGCTGGAATAGTGAAAGACAACCATGGTAATTTATCCTGAGTCTCAAAAATCCCGAATGTGATTGCCACATTTCAGTCGGCGATCCCCACTCTTCCAACGAGACCGTACGCGATCAGAAGAAGCGCATCCGATGATCGACAATAAAAGCATATTGCTTAACAAAGAAATGCTTACAGAAATATCCGGCAAGTAGCAGGGCACTATATATCGTTACTTACTTTACAACAAGCAGAACGTTGTAAAACAATGTTGTGTAGCTGCGACGATTTAGATAGACTTCGCCACAACCATAGCTTTAAAATTGTGTTTTTGAATATAGTCGACTCATTTTGTTAACATTGCAGGATATAATTATCGAACCAAAATCGTGCACTGAATTGGTCGTTTACATTACTGTACTTTCAAATGAATGCAAAGTGATGATATCGTCTGAAGTCTAAATATGTGGCAATTTATTCGGTACACGATATTCGACAGTAATTTCGTTTTCGTTTGTATTTCAATACTCGCCGGGTTGTAAATATCTGATTGGATGTAAGCCTTATATTAATAATGTGTGTAAATTCCTTCTGGACGCAATATATTGCAATTTTACATTATTGCAAAAATTTAACCATTTCTTTAACAAGTTCTTTAGATAGATAATATGATTAGTAGGACGATATATGATTGAGTATAGCCTTTATATATATATATATGGTAAAGGTACATTATCTTGATCCTCGTTTTAACTTAATGATGTAATGTGTCTTACATAAT